CTGAGGATCCCCGGCCGTTCCGCCTGTACAGGTCGTGATGGGCAGCTCCACTTCCACCGGGGGGCTGCTGGGTAGATGGACTGGCCCCAGGTGAAGCCGTCCCCTCCGGACTGCTGGCGAGGTGGTAAGCATTGCGAGACCACCTTTCCGGATCAAGATGCTGATTTCTTGCACCTTCACGCCGCTGGGGAGTGCCCGTTGCGGGCATTTGCTGATTCGCGGCCCGAGTAGCCCCTCTGCCTCAACGGGCGGTATTATCGCCCGTAATCTGTTTAAAATGGCCTTGCCCACTGGTCCATGTAGCTGGGCTTGTATGTCCGCGGGGTCGGAACCGGCCGGCCAATGGATTTCCATGGTAACCTGGTCCTGTTCCGCATGAAATGGTGTTCCTTCTGGAACCGTTTCCATTATTATGTCGATGTTCACAAACTTTCGTTCCGCTTGGGCGCGGCTTGGTTGTTGGCGAGCAGCTGGGGCTGTCGCCCGTCCATTTGAACGTTCATTTGGCGCGGAGGTCCGCGCCTGCCCATTTTCTGCCATTCTGGCCTATATTAACTCAAGCATAATTTTCGAGAGTTCTCCGTTTTTGCCGCGGTCGGCGAGGTCAGCCATAGGCAGTTCGTGGTCGCGTTTTAACGAATATTACATTTGCTTTGTTGTTGTTGTTGTTGTTGTTGTTGTTGTTGTTGTTGTTGTTGTTGTTGTTACAGAGTGGGAGGCTTCTGAGCAAGGGTGCCGACAGGGTACAGCTCCGGGGCCTGCGAGGTAAGGGCATTGGCGCGGGGTGCAGAAAAGGAAGCTTGTCTACGAACAAGGAGGCACATTTCAGCGCCTTGAGCGAAACGCGAAAGATTGCTGTAAGAAGTGAAAAGGAGTTCCAGAAAGATCAGTAGCGCATTCCCCAATTAGCTCTTCAGAGAGTCCACGCTGGAACCAGAAAATACGATCTCCTTCCGACAAGTCAGTGATAGGTGTGATCAATGCCTCAAAGCGTGATTGGTAGGCCGAGACCGACTCACCAGAGCGCATGCGGTGCGATAAACTAGCAAGAGCGGTACGCGCTTCCACATCATGCGGCAAGATCTCAGGGGCGAAACGAGCGAGTAGCGTGGTGAACAGTTTGTTGGACGTGAACGAAGATCGAGCCGTCGACCACTGATCATACCAAGCTTTGGCGGCACCATCCAAAGCATTGGCGATGAACAGGCAGCGAACTGGCTCCCGGTCGCCACCCCGAACGAGCTGGAGGTACTGCTTTGCATCCCTGACAAAAGCACGTGTACTCTCCGCCGTGGCCCGACCTAGTTCGCGGGATCTAAGATCAGACGAAAAATTCAACCTAGGTACTGGAACGGACAGTCTAAGTACCTCAGCATCCTGAGCCGGTAAGAGCGCGGCAGCCGTAGGAGCCATTTCTGCGCCACCAGCACCGTGGGCGGAAGAGGCTACGGGCAACAGCGGCGGCGGAACAGCGGCAACAGGCGTGGGCTCCTGCCCTACGTGAGGCACTGGGGCAGCAACAGGATTGACAGGAGCGACTGGGGCAGAAATAGGGATTGTCGGTGCAGAGCCACCCTCACCGACTAAAACAGGCGGACCCCAGCGATTGCGTCTATTCCCGTCTGCTGTGTTCCAGGAAGGGGGAACAACGTTTACAGTGCCCTGCTGGCCACCAACGAGGACAGGCAAAGGCGAGTTTCCGGAGTTGGCCGGCAACATCGCGACGCGACCTGAAACGCGAACTAAGGCAAGGAAGAAAAGGCAATCCTACCGAAAGTCAGAACCTCTTCAGCGCAGTGGTCCAACTCCTCCAAGGAGCGGTGCACAAGCTCCCTTAAACGCTGGACCGCCGGGGGAACGGAGGCAGCAGTGCCTACCACGGCGGGAGGGCCTGCAAGTCTAGAAATAGTCACAATACAGATTTAATTAACTGAAAATACTACGGGCAGGACTAATCACCAACCCGCGGTGGTCGCGGCGGCAATGACTGCGTCGCCGAAGTCCGTAACGAAAGTAGCTAGCGAACCTGGGTCTTCCAACGCCGGAGAAATCGCCATCGCCGATGTGGGATCCATTCCAGTGCACGTTAGAGTAAGCGCGCGGATGCAGATACGAGACTGGTCCGTGAGGAACCCGTCTCGATACCAAACTTGTAGTATCCTTAAGATGACACAACCATAGATGGTGGTATCGAAAGATACCGGTTGAGACAAGTGGAACGAATAAATAGTCGTTGTAGCAACCACTTGGGCCTCGCGCCGATAAGTTCCCAGTACGACTGGGCGGTGCGATGTTCGGTTGACCATAGTTTACAGGAACTACTCTCGCCCGGTGAAGCAGACGAACCAGGAACGCAGGTTCCAGCTTTACGCAGGTAAAGCCCCCGCCCATACGCCGGTATGGACTTCCGCAGCAGTGCGGCATTTGGCCGGCGAACTCGACTAGCAGCAGTCGCAAGCCGCCAATAAACTAATATTAGCATTAGTTAAACCTATTATCAACGGCAGCGGATACAAACAGGTATTAGTTAATAACAACAGTGTTAGAGCTGAACGGACCGGCATCTGACCGTTAGGCAACCGAGCCTAGAGCTTAACAGTAAGCATACAGGATACAACAATCTACATCTTTGTTTTCGGGAAGAGCTTCGTTTGGCCTTTGCTTCCTCCTTATGTCACGATGGCTGGGGATCTAAGGTTGTCAGGAAACTAGAAATTTTAGGGTACGACATGGGGTTTGAGGGTGGTGCGGATGAAGGGATTGAGGCTAGGGTAGATATTGCTGCGTCACATGTCCTAGATATTGACCAGCTATTGCAGGAACTCCGAGATCGATTTGATGACGACTGGGGTAGTGAAAGGCTGGCGATTGACCCACATATGTTTAACTCTGGGAAAAGGGGGGTCATTTTACCCGTAATTTTGGGTCAATCCACCCGTAATTTGACAGAAATTACGGGTCCGTAACACGTTACGGGTCCCGTAATTTGAGCACAAGGATACAGGTGAACATTTACGGGTGAAGACCCAGTGATTACGGGTGGATTTTACGCGGTGCTGGAGGTGAATTACGGGCGCATGTAACCATTACACGCAAACTTACGGGTGAAGACCCAGTGATTACAGGTGGATTTTACGCGGTGCTGGAGGTGAATTACGGGCGCATGTAACCAATTACACGCAAAATTACGGGTGAAGACCCAGTGATTACGGGTGGATTTTACGCGGTGCTGGAGGTGAATTACGGGCGCATGTAACCAATTACACGCAAAATTACGGGTGAAGACCCAGTGATTACGGGTGGATTTTACACGGTGCTGGAGGTGAATTACCTGTTGCACCGTAATCCACCGTTCCTCTCCTACCTGACCAAAACCCTCTCCCCCACTGCTGCTGGCGTGCTGTGTGGCACATTGCGTACGTATTACGTATATATTCTGTTCGACAACGGGGCCACGGTGCGGTGTCATGTGATGTTGTGGTTGGCATGCTGGAAAAACGCTCACCTGACAGAACTCAACCGTCTTGTGGGAGTCCATTCCCGCCTTTTCCATGGACA